GAGCCAAGAGCTGATCTGATTTTATCTGATGGAAGATGCTCTCCTGCCTGCTGGTCGGGGTTAGGGGTGATTCTGGGGGGGGGCAGAGAGTGTAGTGCAGTGGGGAAGCTGGGGAAGCCCAGGCTGGAGGGGGTCACCTTGTCCCTGCCCCCTCCACAAGCCTCTCATCAAAAAAACAAGTTAGTTATGTCTCACTGTGCCTTCTTTGTACCATTATTTTGTCTGTGCCTTGGTTTCCCCCACAAGTAAGTGATTTGCCCAGGACAAGGGAAAAGGCAGGTTGTGACTAAAGCCCGTGATGTGGATTTTAGCTCAGTCCTGCTCCAAGTGCACCCCAGTTGTCACCTCCTCTCAGTAGCTTTGATGCCCCTTTAGCATCACCTTGGGCTTTAATGAGAGAACAGGACAAAAACGCAGAGAAAAGGCACCAGGCTGAGGTTAACAGCTCTGCTCCCCCATAGCCCTGCACTGGACATTGGAGAAGCCCCACAGGGCCTGTCCTGAGGTCTTGTTCTGTGATCAATTCAAATTGGCTTCAATATGAGCATGAATCCAAAAGGACCTTCCGCCAGGAGACAGGCTGGGCCAGGGGCCCTCTGTCCTCTGCACACCAGGAGCCTGTTCCCTGCCAGGGACCATGGTGTTTGGGGTGCTGAGATGGGACCTGGTCCCCTCCTTTGGTCCCCAGGACTTGTCATCCCTGTCCCAAGAGCTTGACCCTTCACAAAATAGTCCCATCCCCCCAAAATATGATGAATATTGATATGAAATGATATGAATCCATAAAAGACATCACTCCAAACTCTGCCTCTTGCTCAACATCACGCCTGGGGATGCAGCGGGGCCACCTGGGTCACAGCTGTCCCCTGTGAACAGAGGGGAACACCAACATCACCTCCTCCTATTGAGGTGACCCCGTCCGGGTGTCCCTGTCCCCAGTTTGGGGGAAAAGCCCATCAGTGACAGGGCCCTGGGGCTGTCAACACGCGATGCCTCGGGGGGACGGTCTCTGCCTTCGGAGATGCCGTTCGGAGCCAGCCAGCGCTGGGAGCATCTTGACATGTTTTACTGCTTTCTGGGGCATTTTCACCCTTGTCGGGGAACGGGCACTAGACTAGCTGGTGTTTTAAATTCCAGGTCTTTCCTATTTGCTCCTGCACAGTGATGGCTCACGTGCTTTCTCTGTCACTGAAACAGAAGCAATGCTGGTCTGGTAATGATTCTTCTCAAACTGCATGGAATGATGTAGTTTCCTCATCAGCAGTCAGTACTAATGAACCAACACTGGCCACTTCTCTATGAGTAATAAATGTGATCACGACCAGAAAGTGTAGCTGCATTGAGAATACAGCCAGTTGTCTCCTTAGGTATTACCTCCTCGTACTTTTATCACCGCAGCCAATATGCTCTCCATGACAGCAGCATAAATAGCCACAATCTCTGCCTTCCTCTCTCCAGTGATACCTAGTATTCGCCATTTTACTTGGAGTCCCCCAAAGCCCTGGGACATGCCACAGTGCCTCTTTCCTGGGTGGCTGATGACCCTGGGGGGATATGGAGAGGGTTATTCAACCCCATGCACCCCAGAGATGTGCTGGTTGGAGGCTTTGCAGAGACCCAAACACGAGTGGAGAGTGACACCGCATGGCTGGAGGCAGCAAGGCCCTCGGGACACCACCCCATGTTGTCCTTTCCTCCATCCAGAAGGGCAGGAGGAGCCCCGCTCCTTCCCTGGGTTCCCGGCCCGGGGTGACCCTGTCCCAGGGATGTGCCAGGGTGGGACCCCGCGCTGTGAGTGGCCAGGCCCCCCATGGACACCCCAAAACTCAGCCTCCCCACACCCATGTCACTCGGGCAGATGGAGGGGCATGGCCTGCTGCCCCTGCTCCTGGGGCTCGAGGGGGGACAGGGTCACCGCGGCGTCCGTGACCTCCTCCGCAGGGAGCTGGAGGCGGTCCCCCTACAAAGCCCGTCTCCTCCAGCTCGCTCTGCCCTGACCCCGATGTCTCTGTGTCTGGGGTTTTGATCTGCTTTAGAGCACGAACCCCTGAGGGGAGACACCTCAGCCCTGTAGTTACCTACAAAGCCCTGGACATATGTACCTGCTCCGCACACACAGCCTGAGCCCATGACTAAGCCTAGTTACTTTTAATAAATACTTGGTAACTACAATGAAAGTTTCTTCGGCCAAGCACCTGCTGTTCTGAGCTGTGCCCAGCAGAAACGCCATCAGGAGAAGGGTTTTAATCCAAGCAGGAAGGAGAGGGACCTTTCCCCCCTCCGACTGCCGGGGCTTTGAGTGACAGCAGAGCTTGGCTCCTCACCCATCCTTGCTCCTGGCTGCCTTTAGCAACCCCCAAGTGAGCCCTTTCGCTGTCTGGGTCAAGATGTCCCTTCTAGCAGCAAAGTCAGCCCAAGGTGACAAAGTCCCACAGAAGGAGGATTCCCCCCCCAATCTCGTTTTTAAGGTCCTTGGCTCAGTTTTGCACCAAACACCGGCAACAATTGGCTTCAGCAGGAGCTTTGCACACTCAGCAGCCCTCAAAACCAGCACGCCTGGATGGATAAAGCAAATTATCTCCAGTTCCCCAGCACAGCCTGCGTTTCTCCCCCATCACGATGCTGGTGGTGGGGCTCAGCCCACCCTGGGACCCCTTTGCAATGGGACTTCTGTGGCTGCTCCACACCCTGGTCCCGGCATCTCCCCGTGCTCACAGAGCTGATCGTGTCCAGGTGTGGTGGGAGGTGTCCCTGCCCAGGGCAGGGGGGTTGGAACTTGATGATCTTTAAGGTCCCTTCCAACTCGAAGCATTCTGTGATTCTGAGCCTGAAATTTCCTGCTCCTCACTGCCTTTGGGTTGAGTGGGGATCCCAGCACAAGGCAGTTCCTTGGCTTCCCCACCCCAGGGAGTGGGGGAAGAGCCACCTATGTCCCAAGAGTCCCTGGCCTTCTGTGGGGCTGGGAGCAGCCCTGTCTGGTGGGGATGGTGCAGTGACACTGTGGGGTTGGGGGGGATCCCTGGGGTGGGGAAGCTGCCCATGCAGTGATTTTTCTTCCCATTCCTTATCCTGGTTCATGCTTGACATGTTTTACTGCTTTCTGGGGCATTTTCACACAGACTCAGCAAAATGATTTAAAAAAAAAAAAAAAAAAAAAAAGCGAGAGAGAAATAAAAAAATCACAGCTGCTCTGGCACACTCTCAAAATCTCAAAGAGTTTTTTGGCTGAAACATGCCAAGAGAAAAAAAAAAAAAAATCCAACGATCGGAGGGGTAAACTCCTTTTTGCCCCCATTTTGCCTTCCCATGGTGGAATATGGGAACTTTCCCTGCTGGCCCAGGGGCCAGGGCTCTCCCTGCCTGCCGGGGGGGCCGTGCCAGCCCCCAGTGCCACCGGACGCGCTGGTCCCCTGCCAGGGCAAATGCAGCACTCCAGCACTGCCAGCTCCAGTGACAACTGGAGATTTTTTTCTTCCCCCCTAAGGATGCAGCAGTGGGAGCCATGTGATGACTACAGCCTCTTGGTGGCCGTTAATTTTGACTAATGGAAACCTTGATTAACTCCTAGAAGGAGCCGTCCCGGTGGCTCATGGTCCCCATGGCGGATCCAGCAGGAGCTGGTGTTTGACCCTGAAGAAATGGGGTGGATGGGGAGCTCAATGAGCACCCCTTTGGCTCTGGAGTGATGCTCTAAGGACTCGGGGATGCCAGGGAGCCAGCCCCAACTTGGTGAGGTACCATCCCCAGGGATGGCTGGAGGGTGGCCCAGACACCCCCAGCCCCAAACGCCCCTCCACGAGAGCCAGCCAAACCCCAGGGACTGGGGACAGCAGTGTCACCAACTTGTATCCCTGGGATGGATG